ATACACCATGACCAAGTAGGATTTATCCCAGGAATGCAAGGATGGTACAATATCAGCAAATCAGTAAACATGATGCATCACATCAACAAATTGAGAGGTAAAAATCATATAGTCATATCAATTGATACAGAAAAAGCATTTGATAAAATCCAACACCCTTTCCTGATAAAAACTCTCAACAAGGTGGGAATACAAGGATCATACCAAAACATAATAAAAGCTATATATGATAAACCCACAGCCAACATCATACTCAATGGGCAAAAACTAAAACCATTCCCTCTAAGAACAGGAAAAAGACAGGGATGCCCACTCTCACCACTCCTGTTTGACATAGTATTGGAAGTACTAGCCATTGCAATTAGACAGGAAGAAGAAATAAAAGGCATCCAAATTGGAAAAAAAGAAGTAAAATTGTCCTTATTTGCAGATGACATGATATTGTACATAAAAAACCCAAAAGACTCCATCAAAAAACTATTAGATTTAATAAATGAATTCGGAAATGTAGCAGGATACAAAATTAACGCCAAGAAATCTATGGCATTTCTATACACCAATAGTGAATTTACAGAAACAGAGACTAAAAAACAATCCCATTTACCATTGCACCAAAAAATTAAGATACCTAGGAATAAACTCAACTAAGGAGGTAAAAGACCTATACGTGGAAAACTACATGACACTGAAAAAAGAGATAGAAGAAGATGTAAACAGATGGAAGAACATACCATGTTCATGGATTGATAGAATCAACATCATCAAAATGTCCATACTTCCCAAAGCAATTTACAGGTTCAATGCACTCCCCATTAAAATACCAATGGCATATTTCACTGACCTAGAAAGAACTCTCCAAAAATTCATCTGGAACAAAAAAAAGACCACGAATAGCCACAGCAATCCTGAGGAAGAAGAATAAAGTAGGAGGGATCTCAATACCAGATTTCAAGCTGTATTACAAAGCCACTGTTCACAAAACAGCCTTGTACTGGCATAAGAACAGACATATAGATCAATGGAATAGAATAGAGAATCCAGATATCAACCCAAATCATTATGCTCAATTAATATTTGACAAAGGAGGCATGGATATACAATGGAGTCAAGACAGTCTCTTCAATAAATGGTGTTGGGAAAATTGGACAGACGGATGCAAAAGAATGAAACTAGATCACCAACTTACACCATAACAAAAATAAACTCAAAATGGATACAGGACTTAAACAGAAGACGGGAAACCATAAAAGTACTAGAAGCATCCACAGGCAGCAAAATCTCAGAAGTATGCCAAAAGAATTTCTTCACTGATACTGCCCCTAGGGCATTGGAAGCTAAAGAGAAAATAAACAAATGGGACTACATCAAAATAAAAAGCTTTTTTACAGCAAAAGAAACCATCAACAAAACAACAAGAAAGCCCACGGTGTGGGAGAACATATTTGCAAATAATACCACTGATAAAGGTTTAATCTCCAACATTTACAGACAGCTTATACAACTAAATAAAAGGAAGAAAAATGATCCAATTAAAAAATGGACAATGGACCTAAATAGAATCTTTTCAAAAGAAGACAGAAGGAAGGCCAAGAGGCACATGAAAACATGCTCAAAGTCACTAATTATCCGAGAGATGCAAATAAAAATGACAATGCGGTACCATCAACAAATCAACTAACGACAAGTGCTGGCGAGGATGTGGAGCAACAGGAACCCTCATGTTCTGCTGGTAGGAATGTAGACTGGTGCAACCACTGTAGAGAACAGTATGGAGTTTCCTCAAAAAACTGAAAATGGAACTCCCATTTGACCCAGTAATCCCACTCCTAGGAATATATCCTAAGAAACTAGAAACACCAATCAAAAAGGATATATGCACCCCTATGTTCATAGCGGCACAATTTACAATAGATAGGATTTGCAAACAGGCCAGCTGCCCGTCAGCAGATGATCGGATCCAAAAACCATGGTACATCTACACAATGGAATACTATGCTGCCTAAAAAAGAATGAATTCTTATCAGTTGCAGCGACTTGGATGGAATTGGAGAACATTAGGCTGAATGAAATAAGCCAGTCAATGAAAGAAAAACACCATATGATCTCACTCATTTATGGATAATAAGGAACATTATAAACGGATGAACAAAAAGATAGATACATAGACAGTAAAGAAACAGACTGTCAAATTACAGCGGGGAGGGTAGGAAGATATGGGGGAGATCAGAGATCAACAAAGGACTTATATGCATGCATATAAGCATAACCAATGAACGAAAAACTCTGGGGAAGGAGAGCATGTATTGGAGTGGGGATGGGGTGGGGATTGGTAAGGTATGTACACATATAATACCTTAATAAAAAAAGAAATTCTGACTTTGAAAAAAAAAAGAAGGAAAAATGTAGAAATACTGATATCTGGATTACTCTAAAATATATGATTTTTAACTTTTTAATGCTTTATTTTTAGATAGAAATATGACTTGGAAATAGTGAAATTATAGAGCCTTTTGTTCTAAAGCAATTAAAACTGTGTAGTATATCAATTACCTACAAGTAACTGAGTCATTTTAGGGGAGGATCTTATACTGAGTCCTATATTAGTAGCACCTAGTTTCTTAAACTGATGAGGGCCCAATGCAGCATCTCCCTGGATAGAGAAAGTACAGAGTGGAAGATCTAAGGGACCCAGATATTCATTTAGTGATCTTAAAGGTGTCTTTCTCTCTATCACTGTGGAGCAAGTAGGGGTCACTCCTGAAAACATCTTAGAGTGGCAAAAGAATCATAAGAATTTAGTGGCGAGGATGTGGAGACAAAGGAACCCTAGTACACTGCTGGTGGGAATGCAAACTGGTGGAGTCACCATGGAAAACTGTGGAGTTTCCTTAAAAAAAAATGTAACTGTCATTTGACCCAGTGATCCCATTTCTAGGAATAATCCAAAGAATGCTAAAACACCAATCAAAAAGAATATATGCACCCTCATTGTCATACAAGCACAATTTATAATAGCTAAGATCTGGAAACAGTCCAAGTGCCCATCAGTAGATGAGCTGATAAAAAAGCTGTGGTATATTTACATCATGGAATTCTATGCAGCAGTAAAAAAAGAAGAAAGTTTTATTCTTTGAAAGAACATGGAGGGATCTAGAGAGCATTATGTTAAGCAAAATAATCCAGGCAGAAAGAAAACTATAAAATAATTTCATTTCTATGTGGAATGTAATGAACACAATAAATGGACAAACTAAATAGATCCAGAAGCATGGAAGCCTGGAATGGACTGATGAATCTTGGAGGGAAGTAGGAAGAGATTAACCAAAGAACTTAGATACATACTTGAGGCCGGTGCATGAATTTTATGCATGGGGGAGGAGGATTGAGCTCATTCTGTACTCTCTCTCCAATCTGGGACCGCTGGCTCCTAACTGCTCACCTGCCTGCCTGCCTGATTGCCCCTAACCACTCTGCCTGCCTGCCTGATTGCCCCTAACCACTCTGTCTCCTACCTGACCACCCCTAACTGCTCTCCCCTGCTGGCTGATTGCCCCTAACTGCCTTTGCCTTGGCCCCTGCCACCATAGCTTTGTCTGGAAGGACGTCCAGTCTATCTGGTCTAATTAGCATATTACCCTTTATTAGAATAGACTAGAGGCCTGGTGCATGAATTTGTGCATGGATGGGGTTGCTTGGCCTAGCCAGCGATTGAAACCTATCGAGGGGCCAGCCAGCCAGGGAAAGGGACCCTGGGAGGTTGGCCAGCTGGACCCCTGATTGAGGCCAATGGGGGGAAGCAACTGGGTGGGGGGAGGGGCTGTAGGAGGTTGGCTGAGCAGACCCCCATGACCAGGGCCTATGGTGGGGGGCCAACTGGGCAGGAGAGGAGCTGCAGGAGGCCTGCTGGGTGGTAGGAGGAGGGGCCGTGGGAGGTTGGCTATGGAAGTACACTTACTACTGGGAGACAGTTCCTGCACTGAGCATCTGCCCCCTAGTGGTCAGTGTGCATCATAGTGACTGGTCAACCTGTCATTCCGGTTGTTAGGTCATAACTGTCGCTTATGCATATATATATGCATTGCCTATGGCCAAAAACAATAGTGTTGCCGGGACCGGTTTGGCTCAATGGATAGAGCGTCGGCTTGGGGACTGAAGGGTCCCGGGTTCAATTCCAGTCAAGGGCATGTACCTTGGTTGCGGGCATATCCCCAGTAGGGGGTGTGCAAGAGGCAGCTGATCGATGACTCTCTCTCATCGATGTTTCTGACTCTGTATCTCTCTCCCTTCCTCTCTGTACAAAATCAATAAAATATATTAAAAAAAAATAGTGTGATGAAGGACTAGGGAGGGGACAGGAACCTGGTGGAGGGTTACAATGAGGGGAAAAGGGTGGGGCATCTGTAATATGCTCAACAATAAAGATTAAAAATAAAGAATTTACTCAGTCTAAATATAGCTCTGTCAGATTAAATAGGGAGAGTAGTTTAAAACAAGTTTTTTTTCTTTCCTGGTGAACAGAGCTGGGAAATACAGAATTATACACTTGAAACCCATATTATTAGCCAATTTCACCCCTATAAATTTAATAAAAATTAAGATGATGATAATAATGATAATAATAACAATAATAATGGACATGTGGATATACACAAAATAAGTTTTTTTCTCATAAGACTTTTCCCTTTGGTCCAAGTTGAATTAAGAACCTTCAAATTCATACAATTTCAGAATGATTCCAGATTTCTGCCAAAGTATAATACTATGGTCTTATCTCTGACACTGCTGACATATTCTGAGGTTCTTAATCTTTCAATCCTTTATCTAGACATTAAATTGAATTAAAATTTTAAAAGTTTACAATTTTATATTCTGGTATATTAAACAAGGAATTCAATTTTCTCAATTATCCTTTGTTTAAGTTATACATTAACTCCATATAGTATTTATTTTATAATACAATATACCCAGTTCTATAAATATAGCAGAAATCTGATCTGTACCTGTTATCAAAGCTGTGTGATTTTCTCCACAGGCAATAGAAGTTATTTTGTGGTCCTTAACAGATTTAATGATTTTGGGTTCTGCAGTTTCAAAGACAAAAGTGCCAAGACCCAGTTGACCAAATTGTCCCAGACCAAAGGTGTACACAGCTTTCTCTGAAAGGGAAGGGGCAAAAACAAGAAAAGCATTGCAGTGAAGTAGATGCTGTCACCATTATATCTAGTAAAACTGTGATATTCAACTTTTCACAATGAAGGTTAAGTATCTCTGAAAGAATTCCCATATAAGAATACCTAAGCATACATTTCTCAATGATGAAGGAAGAAGAAAAATGTCAAGGTAAACAAAAACAAAAAACTCTTTCTTCTAATAACATTACATATAACAACTAATATAACTTTTGGTCATAACACCTTTGTAAAGTCTAACAATGTAATTGAATATTAATAAATAATACAATATGAGAAAAACAGATTTCATTAGTTAGCTTCAGATCAATACTACTCTAATTTCACAGAATTCATTTTGATTTCATGACTAGTAACTTGTTGCCCTGTAGAGATCTTAAGTTTGTCCAAACATAATCTGGAGAAGTTAAGTTCTTATTTTTCCTGGGATCTATATTTCATTGAGGACCCCATCTTATAACTAGGCCTTTCTTGTCTTTTGGTAACTGACATACAAGATCACATCTAACACTCTGTGCCTCACTTAGTGTGTCCCAGTTCTAGTCTGACACTTTCTCAATAGCAGTCCACCGTTTTCCTGATTTTAAGGAAAAACTAATTATACCATCACTATAACCAGTAGTTGTATTTCCTAATCTGTCATCATCACATTTAAATGTTATGTTTAAATAAACAATAAACTAATTTAAATTATCTTTGAAGTATTTTAATGAATGATATCTAGCTAGATTTTAAGACCAGAGATGCAGACATAAGGAAAAAGAAAGCTGGGGAAGGCCCCTATAGAATAATATAATCCAGGCCCTTTTCTTTAGTGAAGGGAATAGTTTAGAACAGAAGGTTAGTTATTCTTTCCTTAAAGGTCTTGCAAAGTATTCTGTAACTTCTAGGTATTCATATAATACTTATTAAAACTAATGGTCAATTCTCTCTTTCAAGTCCATTTCTTCATTAGGATTAAATATTTAACCTTTCTGCCAACACTGTGTTCCAGAATACAGATTTCTCATCAGGGCTAGCTCATAATACACCTCCCCCAGGTCCATGGAGAAATGTGAAAAATAGGAAAAGTAGTGAGTTTACCATACAGATAAATTTATACAATTTAAGGGTGTGTTTTTTATTATAAAATTAAGAGCTTTAAAAAAATTTTTTGTGTGGAAAATCTCCCTTATTTTATGATACGATTGTGAAAACATTGCATTTTTTTTGCAATGTCCATATTTAGTCAATGAAAATCAAAAGTTGGCAACTCTATATTCATCTTCATATTTTATAAAACAAAAATCATAAAATACAAAAGCTTTATTGGTCTATGAGATTGCAAAGTCTGCAAAAGTCTGCAAAAAATAATCAATTTCTGGCAAGATAGCTTTTAACTATAATATAAAATAAAGTCCACAGGAAGCTAAATGTCTATCTATAATAATAAAAGCATAATATACTTAGACAAGACATCATTCCAGAGGACCTTCTGAACAAAGCTGGGGCTGCGAGGGAAGCCTGGGTCCCGGGTGCCAGAAGGAAGCCAGTGCTGGCAGCCAAGGGAAGGAAGGCCTACTCTTACACAAATTTTGTGCATCAGGCCTCTAGTAATATTATAAGAAAATGTCACACTTATGTGCATTTTTAATTTTAAGTATAATGAAAAGTACCACAGAAGATCTTGGTGCTCATTTTACATGAAAATATTTTATAATGTATGGTTGAATGATATTATTATATTAGAGGCCCAGTGCACGAATTTGTGCACCAGAGGGGACCCTTAGCCTGCACTGCAGGATTGGGCCGAAACCAGCTCTTCGACATTCCCTGAGGGATCTCAGATTGTGAGAGGGTGCAAACCAGGCCGAGGAGCCCAACTGGTGCACGATGGGGGGGGGGGGGAGGGATGCAGGAGGTTGGCCAGCCAGGGAGGAACCATGAGAGGGCTCCAGGACATGTCCAGCCCATCTCTCAGTTCCAATCAGCCAGACCCCAGCAGCAAACTAACCTACCACTCGACTGTCTGCCTCCTGGTGGTAGTACATGTCATAGAGAGCAGTTGAGCGGCCTTAGCATATCATTAGCATATTATGCTTTGATTGATTGAACAGACGACTGGATGACTGGACACTTAGCATATTAGGTTTTTATTATATAGGATAGTGTACTTTAGAGCTATCAATTACCTATTAAATTCTTTCTGTAATTTTTGTATAAACTACATAAAATATGTAACATAAAGAATAAATTGGAGAACCAAGATGGTGGCCTAGGTAAGCACCTAAGCTGCCGCCTTGCAAAACAATTTCAAAAACAATTAAAATCAGAACGGACTTCATCCTAAACCAAAGGAAAGCTGGCGGAGTGGGAAATCTACAACTAGAAAGAAGGAGAGAGGCTCACGGATCAGACTGGGACCCGCAAAGTGCTGAGGTAGGGAGACGCTCCGCGCACAGAAAGGAAGTGCGGCAGAATGCCTGGTTGGCAGGAGGGGAGGAATTCCCGATTGTACTGAACCCTTTCTGACTGTACTGAATCCCAACCTTGGCCGAAATCCCGTGGATCCAGGCTCATACGGGTGGAGTCTTGACTGTAGAGAAAGGCACCCAGAGACTCAGAGACTGGGAGACTAGGGGAGCCGGGAACCCCAGCGGGCAGGGTCCACAGTCAGGCGCATGAGCGATTGCGAGCAGAGAGGTTCAACCACGAAGGTTGCCGCAGCCTCTCCATAGCGGAAGGAGGCAGAAAGACTACAGAGATCCAACCCAATTCTGGGCGAGCCCCTGAGGCACCCACATTCTTGCACGGGGAATGTTGGACGGTCAGGTGGGAACTCAGGCGAGTGCACAAGGGCAGGGCTGATGGGAAGTCAAGACTGTCAGCTCAGCCCTGAGACTTCGCCCCATCCACGCTGAGCACAGAGGCTGCTGCAGCTTTGCAAGTCTGATCCTATAAGACTGTCTCTAATACAGAAGGTATCCCACCCAGAGTAGACACAACTGATACTCACATCCAATTGGCCTGAAGGTCAATTCCTCCCAGGGATACCAACAACAATCAAGTCTTAACTACAACAAGGCTGTATACGCAGTCCACAAAGGGGAGCACCAAGAGTATCTACCTCAGATAACTGGGGAAGCTGACCCACTAGGCCATATAGGACACCAAACACACAAAGCCATCCTACCAACTCTGGGAAGCAGTGAAAATGCCAAGACAAGGAAATAGATCTCAAACGAAAGAGATGGAGGTTATAGAGTTCAAAACCACAGTTTTAAAGTTATGCAAGAATTTCCTAGAAAAGGCCAATAAATTTCATGAGACCTAACTAAAAATTAAACATAAACTGACTAAATTGGAAAATATTATACAGAGATCCAACAGCAGAATGGGGGAACACAAGAATCAGGTCAAAGAGTTGGAATACAAAGAGCCAATAGACACTCCTCTGGAGAAGCAAGAAGAGAATAGAATCCAGAAAGTTGAAGATAGTGTAAGGAGCCTCTGGGACAACTTTAAGCATACTAACATCAGAATTATGGGGGTGCCAGAAGAAGAGAGAGTGTAAGATGATACTGAAAACATATTTGAAGAAATAATATCAGAAAACTTCCCCCACCTGGTGAAAGAAATAGACTTACAAGTACAGAAAGCCCACAGAACCCCAAACAAGAGGAATCCAAAGAGGATAACACCAAGACACATCACAATTAAAATGACAAGGGCAAAAGACAAAAAGAGGATCTTACAAGCAGCAAGAGAAAAGCAGTTGGTTACCTATAAGGAGCACCCATATGACTATCAGCTGATTTCTCAACAGAAACTATGCAGGCCAGAAGGGAGTGGCGAGAAATATTCAAAGTGATGAATAGCAAGAACATACAACCAAGATTACTGTATCCAGCAAAGTTATCATTCAGAATTGAAGGGCAGATAAAGAGCTGCAAAGATAAGAAAAAGCTAAAGGAGTTCACCACCACCAAATCATTAATTATATGAAATGCTGAAAGGTATTCTTTAAGAAGAGGAAGAAAAAAGAAAAGATAAAAATTATGATCAACAAATACATATATATCAACAAATGAATCTAAAAATCAAGTGAATTAGAAATCTGAGGAACAGAATAAATTGGTGAATATAATAGAATCAGGGGCAAAGAAAGGACGTGGATTGATAATTATCAGGGGAAAAGGGTGTGGGGGTGCAGAAAGAGACTGGATTAAAATCGTACACCTGTGGTTGAGGACAATGGGGGGGGGAGGTAAGGGCAGAGGGTGGGGTGGGAACCGGGAGGAAGGGAGCTATGGGGGGGAAAAGGAGAAACAATTGTAATAATCTGAGCAATAAAGAGTTATTAAAATAAATAAATAAATAAATAAATGAAAATAAAAAGGCCATAAAAAATTAATAAATTGCATTTCTGCCTACAGAATGACTTTTCAGATAATGTATAAAGATTAATTTAAAAGTTTGAATCCTAAAATAAATATTTTTGAAAATTCATATTGTTGGCAAAAATTCAAAACAATCTTAACTTTAAAATTATTTCCAAATTTAGAGTGGAAGCCTTGAAAAAAATTGTTTCTAACTTGGAAAAGATCCCATATGGAAATTATAATTCTGGTAAACCATAGCTTAATAAGCATGACAAGGACTAGAATAAGTTAAGGAAAATTTATGTAAGAGTAAAATCTAAAGATAAGCCGAAACCGGTTTGGCTCAGTGGATAGAGCGTCGGCCTGCGGACTGAAGGGTCCCAGGTTCGATTCTTGGTTGTGCGCACATCCCCAGGAGGGGGTGTGCAGGAGGCAACTGGTCGATGTTTCTCTCTCATTGATGTTTCTAACTCTCTATACCTCTCTCTTCCTCTCTGTAAAAAATCAATAAAATATATTTTAAAAAAAATCTAAAGATAAAATATTGTTCATTCAACTTGTATAACATCTGAGAATTGGATAATAATCAAAATTTGCCTAGAATACTTCTAACTTTGAGTTACTGAAGATTAATGGTGATTTATGAAACTTTATTTTTTTCTAACAAAAAAAATCACAATTTACTATATAACTATATTACCTTTATACTACTCATCTATATCTATATCTATATCTATATCTATATCTATATCTATCTATATCTATATAAAACCCTAATATGCAAATAGAGTGGACAGTGGAACAACCGAACAACTGGTCCTATAACATATGCTGACCACCAGAGGGTGAGCGTGTAACATGGCAGGCATCGGCAGCGGGTGGCAGAGTGCAGAACATGGTGGGCATTGGCCGTGGCAGGATCGTGGAACAGGTGAATGGGGCGCCAGACCAAGGTGGGTGCTGGTTGCTGCCATCAGGGTGAGCCTCTGGTGGTAACTAAAAATTCTTTGTTCCCATGCACCGCAATCCTGCTGTGCACTTACACCTGCTGCTGGTGATGGCCTCACTCGCACCTGCTGCTGGCACCGGAGCCACCGGCCCCGATAGCCCCTCAGGGTTTTTCCACTTCCCCCTGCTCCTGAAGGGCAATTGGGACTGGAAGCAGCCTCTCACACCCGCAGCCAGCACTGGAGCCACTGCTAGCACCCAGCACCAGCCCTAATTGCTGCACACTGTCAGTGGGTGTGAGCAGGGCTGGCACTGTCAGTGCATGGGGGTGGTGGGGGCAGAAGTAGGACTGCTGGCCTACAGGGGAATGGGGGTTGCAATGGGAGGGGCTACATGGGGGCGCAGAGGATGAGCCAAGAGCTGCCCCAGTGCCCACTGCACCCTCGCAGCCCACAGTTCCTTTCAAGGTGCACAAATTCATGCACTGGGCCCCTAGTCTAAAATAAAGGTAATGCTATACAAATTTACGAACACCAATTTAGCAAGCATATTATTAAGGAGTATGCATATCTTAAATGTGTTATCTAGAATAATAAGAAATGACATCTCATGCCAAATACAAAATTCAGAAGCCAAAAGTGACATTACTATTATAGTTCTAACTTTCTTCATTACCTGAATTGAAAATCTTAATACCTTTTAATGAATAACTATAATGAAAAATAAAAAATCGCAAAGAAATCATTAAGTTATATGTGGTGAATGTCATAAGAAAAAGAATTATGAATGACTGTAGAAAATAGCATGAAAAGGGAGCTTTTCCAAAAAAAATATTTCAGAAAAATGTCAATTTTAGATAAATATGGAATATATATATGCATATATATGCATATATATGGAAAAGTATGTATTTCCATACACATATGGAAAAGTTTGCTCATAAAACGAGCTAAAAACAATGCCATTTACTTTCAATAAATGTGTTAAGATAATGAAATTACCAATTATGTTAGCAAAAATAATTCAACAAGATTAAATTTTTCTACTTAAGAAATTCTTCCATTGGCCAGAAATATATATTAACTACAGGAAAAAAAGGTGAAGATCTTAATTGAAAAAGATTCAATATCAATTCATATGAGCTATCTAAAATAAACAAACTCTTAGAAGCAAGGGACTAGACTGCTGGTTTGTCAGGAGCTAGAAGTGGGGGGAAGAGAGCTGCTAATCAATGGCATAAAAGTTTCATCTATGCAAGGTAAGTTATGGATAATACCAAATCATACAATTAAAAATCATTTAAAAGGGTAAATCAAATGATAAGTGTTCTTACCACAATAAAAAAGGAATATAATTTTTTTCATTAGCCACCACAGAAAGAAAGAAACAGAGTAGCAGGGTCCACACATACCTGTGAGAACCACTGTGTGTCCTCCACCACAAGCTACTTGGATCACCTTCTCAGGAATTCCAGGCACCAGTTGGGGCACTTTGTGATTCATCAGTAGCTGTTTGGGAAGACCTAACTTTCCATACTCAGGTTCTCCAAATGTATACAGTTCTCCCTCCACTATTAAAGGAAAAGAACAGTGATCAATGACAGCATAAATATGGACAAAATACTGGTCTTTCTAGTACATGTTCTCATATGCAGTAAAAAAAAAAAAAAGGCAACTTAATAAATTTGAACTTTCTTGAGATATTTTTACTGTACGGTAGGGAAATGAAGCCAAATTTTAATTTTCCCTTTGATTTTTCTAGTTCAATATGTTCAGGAAGAAAACAACCATGACTACTAAGAAAAAATAGAAAATTATTTTAGCTGTTTAATAAAAAAAGCTTCTTTTCTTTTTACTGATTTCAGAGAGGAAGGGAGAGGGAGAGAAAGAAATATCAATGATGAGAGAGAATCATCGATTGGCTGCCTCCTGCACACTGTAGATATGGCCCTGACCGGAAATCAAATCATAGGTCAACGTTCAACCATTGAGCCACTGCAGCCAGCCAACTTCTACTTCCTTCTTTTCCCCCCTTCTTTTTTTAATAAAGCAGAATGACTAGACATTAAGCGCCCATAAGGACATAGATTTTGTTTTGCTCGCTCATTAAGGTATTTCAAAAACCTAGCAATATCTAGTATACTGAGCATTTAATGAATAGTTGAGTAAATGAATAATTGCTTTTTATGAAATGTTTCAGAAAACTCATTTAGATATGAATAAATATATGAGTTTTAAGATAACAGATTTTACTGTTAGAAGTACTCCAGAAAGACTATCAAGGAACCCCTTACATTTAACCACTGCCTTGGCAATATCAACACTGTTGACTTGCTTCTGTTATTACACTTACCACACTATAATATGACTATGAATTTCTTGAAAGTAGGAATTTCTTTTGTTCATTTCTATGAACTGAACTGAATTATATAAAATAGGGATTTTAAATATTTGTAAATAAATAATCTACTCTAAAGAATGACACAGAATATATCACCACTAGTGTGAGGAAAGACGTAACAGCAGGTCTTGTTGCTTATTAATTGCATGTCTCTAAGAGAAACATGATGGATCACTGACCAAACCACTGGGAATATGAAGTGTTCTTTATGTCAGTGATTGATAATTTTATTATGTACACCTGAAGCAATGATTTATGCCAGCTTAGCTTCTTAGGATTGCTTTACTTAGGATTGATTGTTTTACTAACATCAACATTGATGAAGTACACCCGGTCTATTTTTAAAAAAAATCTATTTTATTGTTTTACAGAGAGGAAGGAAGAGAGAGAGAGAGTTAGGAACATTGATGAGAGAGAAACATCGAGCAGCTGCCTCCTGCACAACCTCTACTAGGGATGTGCCCACAACCAAGGTACATGTCCTTGACCGGAATTGAACGTTGGACCTTTCAGTCCGCAGGCCGACACTCTATCCATTTAGCATACATTAATCATTTTAGCATACACCTGGTTTCACTGTTGAAGAACCCGAGTTTTAAATGCTGTGGCCAGTTGCTTGCAGGATGTGCCTACATGACCAGTGCCTCACAAAAAAAGCCCCAGACCCTGAGACAACAGTGGGCTTCCCTGGGCATAGACATTCCACACATGTCCCTGAAGTTTGCTACCAAAGAGAAAGCATATCCTGTGCAACCTGGGAAGAAGAAGAACTAAAAAGCCTATGCTGGACCTCTCTAGACTCCATCATTGTTGCTTTTTTTCTGTATCCTTTGTTGTAATAAACCTTAGCCATGAGTTTAACCTGCTCTTGAATCTTGAGAGTCCTTCTAGAAATTCATAGCACTTAGAAAAGTTGTGGGACATCAAATACACATGGTATACAATAGTTAAAACTTGGTCAAACATGAGACTATAATTTAAAAAACTCAGTCAAATACTGCAAATATAGCTATACTGATTTTTTTCACCATTTTAATGATTTAGAAAAACACTGGCACAGAAGAGGTGCTCAGTAAGTCAGCACCTTTACTCTTTTCCCATGCCTTTTGCCTCTCATATGAAACAAGTTACTAAGTCCAGAAGAGTCTCTTTCCATCTCTGTCTATAAATTCCTCCTGCTCCTCATACCTTTTAAATATATATATATATATATATATATATATATATATATATATATATATTATTGATTTTTTACAGATAGGGAAGGGAGAGGGATAGAGAGCTAGAAACATCAATGAGAAAGAAACATTCATCAGCTGCCTCCTGCATACCTCCAACTGGGGATGTGCCCGTAACCAAGGTACATGCCCTTGACCGGAATTGAACCTAGGACCTTTCAGTCTACAGACCAATGCTCTATCCGCTGAGCCAAACCGGTTTCGGCTCTTCATACCTTAACATGGGTGAAATGTATGGCATGTGAACTATATCTCAATAAAGCACTTTTTTTTAAAGGCATTAAAACAATTAAACAAAGCAAAAGTTCAATTTAACACATATTGATTAAGATGAACAACTCCACCTCTTCCCCTACTGGCTACAGCAGTTTAGTCATAAAAATGATTCTGGCAGTTTTATTAAAACCCATAACACAATGCTTTTGCTTGTTTTTCTATTTGTGTTTTTTCCCTTTTTTGTTTTGTTTTATGAACAAAGTGAGCACAGACTATACCAAACCTAGGATCCTAGAGTTACTAATAAGTTGGTAGGTAGTATTTCCCCAAGAAACACAATCAATTGGTCATTCATTCACTTACTCCCTCATCTGACAATAATTATTAATTATAAGTTTGCTCAAGACACAAACTGATCTAGTGGTGAAGAATACCAACCAAGTTGGATTTTGCCATCTCTTGGTACCAAGCTACTATCAATTCACTGGTAATTCTAAGGAGCACTGAAATGAGTCAATTGGCACTTTCTAAAACTAAATCTGAGGTGCAAGGAGTAAATGTATAAAGCAAAAATCTATAGGGATGTCTCAGATGGGCCACAAAATTACTTCCTCTAGGTGTTTTACTATTAGAAAAACCATCAATAAGATGGAAAACAAAAATTATAGTGTAGATGCAGACTATAATAGAGCCCAATATTTCAAATATTTTAACTAAGAAACAGTTGCCACTGAGCCAAGGAAAGGGAGAAATTGATAGGATGCTGAGAAAAGACCCACCAAAGGAAATCATATCCCATACTGACTTCTTTTCTTTTTCATCTAGTCTTTATCCTGTTCCCACAATGAAAGTCTATGCCTTGCTTATTGAAACAATAAAAGCAAACTATCAGTTCAAGGGTAGAATACATCAAAGTACAGAGGCAAGTCAATTCAAGGTAAGTGGCCTACAGGTAAAGTTTTTTTTTATGCCAAATGATTCCAAGAAGTTTGAGATCCAAAACTTAGAAGGGTTTCTAACATATACATTTTGTTTTTATAATACACCTAATATTCATTAAAAAGTTAATAAGTCAGAGAGTTTGAAATTATAAACTCTCATTACTGAAATAGATACTATTTTAAAACAGACCAAAATTATTGCATTACATGGACTACTGTGGCATTATTTCTATGGAACTATAAGATGCTATATCACTTTATTATTAACTAATAACTTAAAATGGGAGATGATATGATGAATCCAAAATGTTCTGTCTTACTTGTTACAAAAGCTGAATGGTAATATCCACAAGAGATCCAGGCAATAGGTTTCCCAATGGTCACTTCATGAGGAAAATACACATTACATGTATTATTTAAGCCAATCTGCCCTTCAGAATTTTCTCCCCACATAAAAAGTTTTCCATCCTCTATAAAGAAAACACAGGAGGAAAAGTGTTTTTAAAAAGTGGTAGGTCTATAAAGTTACTGTATTATATTTCCAAAAGCCCATTTATTTTTTAACTTAGAAAAATTATGTATCTTAAAAGTACTCCTAAGACTTTTATACCAGTTAGCTACTTAACAGTTCAATTTCTAGCATAAAATGCTTCTATCCTTTATAATAAAAGACTAATATGCAAATCGATCAAATAGCAGAACGATCGGTCACTATCACACACACTGACCAACAGGGGGCAGACGCTCAACACTGAAAACATCCTTCCAGGGGAGGGACTGGGAGGTTGGCTGGCTAGTCAGGGGGAGGGACCTCGGGAGGTTGGCTGGCTGGCCCTAATCAGGGGATCAGGTCTGGCTGGTTGGGGGAGGGACCATCTGGGGGAAGGGACCTCGGAAAGTTGGCTGTTAGAGGGAAGTTGGCTGAGGGAGTGCACTGAAGGGGGCAGGTTCTGCATTGAGCATCTTCCCCCTGGTGGTCAGTGTGTGTCACAGTGACTGGTCAACTGGTCATTTCAGTCATTCTGGTTGTCCAGTCGTAATGATTGCTTAGATTTTTATATATACAGATTACCTCCAAAATGTACGTTGACATCTAACTCTAAATAAGCATACAATTATAACATATGTCATGGTTTAAAGTTCTATTTTAAATGACTTCTAAAAACATATCATCAATGAAAGAAAATTAAATGGCAATGGTGTCTTCAATTTACTGAGTTGGTTGGTATATCCTGGTCTAAAGGAAAGGGATGTGCCCCAGCTTAAAATGGAAAAAAGTCTTACCAGTTAGTGCAGCTGAAGTGTTAGATCCAGCAGACAACTGCTTAAAATGATGCTGGGATGTAAAAAATTCAATTAGATGAAAAGTGTTTCTATCTTCAGTGTCACCAAGTCCTAGCTGGCCTTCATTATTTCCTCCAACTGCATATACTTTGCCTCCTTCTGAACACAGAAAACATTGTATACTATAGTCATCTTTATGAGATAGGCTGGTGTATAGCAGATATTTCTTCTATTAACAATGAAGAAAACTGAAAGCTGATATTATCCTACAATTTGGTGTACAACTACATTTGTCAAAAATGAAGCAAAATAAGCAAGACTATATACATTTTTGTGAGATCTTAGAAATCATTCCAGAGTCCCAGGAGCATCTAAAATGCATAGAATGTGTGGAATGTATTTTCTTATTCATGCAGCACTTTATTAACTTAGAGCAGGAAAAAGGAAAGTAATTTCCAAATTAGTTTATAATCCAAATCAAACTATGTAAGAAATATATGGTTCATTAATTTTAACTTCCATACCCATTAAAGCTAGAAATAATAGGTAACATATAAGTAAAATGATGTAAACCCAAGAGGAATATAATTAAAAACATGAAAAATCTATGTTGTATAATTCTTTTAATTTTATAGCATTATGTTTAGAAGAAAGGACTCCAGAGCCATATTTCCCGGGTGCAAATTCTGGTTTGCCTCTTATCAACTGTGAGACCTTGGGCAAGCGTACTTAACCTATCTGAGTCTCCTTTTCCTCATCTGTAAAACAGGAATAATAATAGTGCCTACTTTATTGAGCTGTTATAAAATTTAAATCAGTTAACATTTATAAAATTCTTAGAATAGCATTTGGCTCATTATAAGTACTATAAGTATTTGTTAATTACTTTTTTATTTAAACAAGAAGTATATCTTGCCTAAATAATAAACATTGCCAATAAGCTCTGAAGTAATAAATATTTTTGAAACATATTAAAATAGTAATATCCATCATAAAAATGCACATGAAGTTAAATAGGGGAAATAGGGGAAATAGGGCAAAATCAGTTTGAATTGGTAAAAATTAAAAATGAGATATTTAAAAAAAAATGAAACAAGACTAGCTTTTAATGGAAGATATTACAAGGCCACATGGAATTGGACCACACAATTTATACATATGGAGTAAACCAGAGTTGGCGAAATGCTTAGCATAGTTCAGAGAACCACATGAGTAAAAAGTTAAATACTCACCAAAAGTTCTATGAAAAAAGTAAGACTAATACTGCATTTTTAAAGAATCTGAGGAAGAGAAAAGACATTACAGCAAGAGAGCAGTCTCAATAGGGCAGAGAGGTGGAGGAGAAGCCAAAGTAGTGAAAATATCCTAAAGACAGCTGTGTGGAGGGGAAAGGAGGTAAGAAAAACTGGATGTCCAGAGTCTGAATGTCTAATTGTTCCAGCAGCATTTGTTGAAAAGACTACATTTTCTCAATTGAACTGCCTTTGCACCTTTGTCAAACATTAATTAGGCATGTATATGTGCACCTATTTCTGAATTCTATTCTGTTAATCTTTGTCTTTTGGCCAATAGCACACTCTCTTGATAACTGTAGCTTTGTGGTAGGTCTTGAAATCAGGTAGTGCTAGCCCTCCAATTTTATTCTTTTCAAAATTGTTTTGGCTACTCCAGGTCCTTTGCTTTTTCATATAAACTTAAGACTCAAAACAAAATAAAAAACAAGAAGGAGGAAAAAGAACAACAACAAAAAAAGAATCACCTTGTCACCTTCTAGACACACACACACACACACACACACACACACACACACACAGAGCCTGTTGGGATTTTGATTGGAATTGTGCTGACTCACATCAATAGAGGTTGATGTGAGGTAGGGGGTGGTTCCCACTCACCCTCAGAAAAGAAGAAAGAACAGCAAGAACAGGAACAACTAGCCCATGAGGTGTGCACATGGTTAAGGAGTCGTTGCCTCTTGACGTAGTCCAAGGAAACAATCTTTTTCTTCAGTCATTACCACTTACCTGCATATTTTCAAAAGTCTAACAAGTAGACTAACTACTTACGTTTTTAAAAAAATCTTAATCTTACTGTTGTTGCCAAGGTATCACTTCTATTAATTTTAGAAATGCACAAATGTACTGGAATGAGATCTCAGTCCTCAAACTGGGCAGGAAGTTATCCAGATTGAATACCATACCTGTTGAAACTAGGGTGTGGTTCCGTCCACAGGCAACATGTTTCACCTTTTCAGGTTTTAAAGCTAAAAATATGACAATTAAAATATGAAATGATTATGAAAATGGTAAATAATACAGGTCAAATAATAAATAAGTAGTAGAACAGAGATTTAAATCTAGGCCTGTCTAAGTGCAAGGTCAATGTTCTTAATTACTAAAACAAAAATTTTCAGAACTATGCCAAAACTGGTTTGGCTCAGTGGATAGAGCGTCGGTCTGCAGACTGAAAGGTCCCAGGTTCGATTCCGGTCAGGGGCATGTACCTTGGTTGCGGGCACATCCCCAATAAGGGGTGTGCAAGAGGCAGCTGATCGATGTTTCTCTCTCATCGATGTTTCTAGCTCTCTATCCCTCTCTCTTCCTCTCTGTAAAAAATCAATAAAATATATTAAAAAAATGTTTTCAGAACTAGTCATGCATCAAAATAACCAGAGCTCTGAGAAAAATACATAGTTTAGCTCCACCCCGTGAGACTCTGAGTTAGTATGTCTGAGGTAAGGCCAAGGCTTCTATATATTTTTAAACACTCCAAAGGTAAGTAATATATGCTGAGATCCACTGCATTCTGTTAAGCTGCTTTTATATCAACGTGATCTTTTAAGTAATCTATCATCACCATCAATCTCACTTTCCACCTCCCTCAAAGAATCACTAAGTCCATTATTCATAGGCATAAACCTCTGTTAAAGTTCTTCATTTGTTCATTTACACATTCAAGAAACCTTTATAGAACATATATTAAGTGCTTAGAAGATAACTAAGACAGAATCCCTGGTGTCAAAGGATTTCCTGTTAGCTTGTCTATTAGACATTTGAGAGAAAGAGTCATAGGCATGGTGAATACATTCAAGGGTTTAGCAGACTGTGCCCAATAAATATTTTTGACCAATTTAATATACTTTGAAAATCCCATAACACCACCTATAAATGGCATGGATATCATAAATTACATTGTAATTTTGGGCTAAAATTAAAAATATGGCTAGGAAGATAAAGAATGCTACTCTTGTCACATCCCAAGGAATCTTCATTGTCATTCAAGTTTAGTTGATGTTCACAGATTATACTTAAACAGAAGCTTTGTATATAACAGCAAATAACTTTGTAAAGGTATTATAAGTCCCCTATTTTCTGGGACAGTTCTGATTTAAAATATTTTGTCATGTTCTTAGAAGAATATTAGTACTAATCAACACCGAATCTTGATGTTTTGTTTAGTACATCTACTCACCAAATGCAGAAGGGAAAAGTGTATTGTATAAAACCAGAAACTACATAAAACCATGATGTCATCAAATCTAACAAATTAAACAAAGCTCAAAATTCTAAAAAATGAAGTTAAATGTAAATAATGCTCAGGTAAATATCAGAAAATAAATAACTAAAGACTTTATTATTTATAATAGGATATTAAAGAACTACACAATCAATATAAAAGTATTTTGGTTTGTTAAGTTTTTAAAGTGACAAAGAAAAAAAGACTCCAAACCTTTGACACATGTTGGTTTGCAAACCGTTGACTTTGATCCTAATCCTAACTGGCCCCAGTTGTTACTGCCAAACATGTAAAGTTTTTTATTTCCTGGTGGAAAGGAAAGAAGAAATAATAAATTGAAGCATTTTAAACATAAATGTGAGATGAAGTCATCACAAATAAAAATGCTACACTTAAAAGGTGTCATTGTTTTCCATGTTGAAACAGGTTACCTTGTGCATATACATATAGGCAGATTCTGTTTGGTGTAAAAGAGTTTCTAAAATTATATGGTAATAGTTTTTTAATATAGATATATTAAAATAGGTTTACTATAAGAAAGTTACTAAGGGAACTAAATTAAAAAGACTCAATTGATGAATCAACTTGTCAAGTATTATCTGGCAAAGGAAAAACAACACTTTCTATATTGTTTTCAATATATTTAAAACACCGGGCATCTATAATATTTAGGATTTTAATACTAACCGGTAATAACAGCAGTATGTTCATCTCCACATGCAAGATATGTAGGTATATCATTTTTGAACCAGAATTTGCTGGGAGTATTTTCAGCAAACTTTGTTTTTCCAAATGTAAACACAGCACCCGAATCTGCAAATATATGACAGTTTCTACTTTATAACTTTTTCTAGTTGGCTATTACTAAAGTTTATTTTTCCAGTAATTTATTCAGATTCCTTGTCTCATGATAACTTTGCCTCTGAGATAGCACTGTTTACACCCTCTTTCCTCCACCTTCATTCACTGTTACTTTGTCAGACTTCATTCGAATTTTATTTATGAAATCTACTAAATTCAGTGTGTATGTAAATTTAGTGGTATAAAGTAAGACATATAGTATCACAAGGAGGGTAGTCCTCAATTACGAATAGCCCTGCTGTCACTAGGTAGACCTACTCCCTCTGGTTAACACCTAATGGTGTAGCCCTTGACTGAGGGCTTTTGTACACACAGAAACAAGACAATATTGAGTTTCCTCATTAGTATCACCAGGATGCAGGATGTTTGATCCAATACTATTTCTGAGAACAAAAACCCCTACTGGCTACTAATAACCATTTAAATACACATACACACCCCAAACAGGAGGCCAGATCCAGCTTTGGAGGAAATCTCAAGGACGATCACACATAAATTAATGGGTACCAGAATGGAAAACATAGTGAACATAAATATTTATAATCAATATTAATGCAAAAGAGACTAGACACGTGGAAAACCTTATGAGAACAATTATGAGGCATCTCATTTCTGATAAATGAGAAGAAGTAAGCCAGGTTCTACAATAGGCTCTGGGGTTTCCCTCGAATGAATAATTTAAACTGTCCCCCCCAGCTGTGGCTCCCAGGAAAAGCTCCCTGATATCTGCACTCTAAGGCAGGGTTTGGTGGCTCTGTTCTAGTGCCCTGTCACTTTGTTTCTTTTCTTGTATCCCTCACTAAACTGTGAACCCCAAGAGGGCAGGGATCTATTAAAGTCAAGAGCATGGCAGAAAACACAATACTTATTAAAGTGAATGCATGATTCTGCTTGAATCCAGTATTTTTGTTGAAACTGTTGGTCGTGAATGATTAGTGGGTTACAATATCAGTTCAGTGGATCATGATGAGTATTTTTAAAGGTATTACAGAAAATATCTGAGTGTATCCCAAGTGGTTCAAGTACTCTTCCTCATGGAATGTGTATACACTATGCATGTGGTAAGTATGTATTGCCGTCACAATGTCAAATGTATTTTAAGGCGGGGGGGGGGGGGGGGAGGGGAGGAGTCTTAAAAGAAAATCATCACTTGTTAAGTAAGGACTCCCTACTCACTCCCTTTCTCTAAGCTGTTTTCTCACCCTATTTTACCTCGTGCCCCTCACCGCCTACTCCTTGAGGTACTCAATAAATACTAAGTGGACCCTGGGGACCTCTAAGGAGGTACTTTGGGTAGTTTACAGGGAGGTTAAAAGTTGTTCACTTCGAGAAACTCACAGAAAGCTTCTTTAAAAAGAACAAAACACTCGCCCCCCTTTATGCGTCGCCCCCCCTCAGACCCCTCTCCACCACCCCGTCCTTTCCTTGCTCCTCAGTCGTTGGGGGCGAGAGGGGACTCCTACAGCTCAGGCTCCAGTGGGGGACCGCGGCCGGGGACTGTTCCCAGAAGGGGCCGGCCCGGAGGCGGGGCCAAGCCTTCCGCCTCCCGTGGACCCTCCCTCTGGGCCCGCTGCCACTACTCACCGGGCACTACCTCCTCAGGTTCCCCCATGCTGAGGGAGCTCCGGGGAATCCGCGTCTGCGCCGGGAAAATGGCGGGGGCTGTTCGGTTGGGCCTAAGGTAATACCCCAGCCGCGACTCGGGCCGTGGAAGCCCCTCGGGCTTCCATGGCGACACTCTGGGCATCTGAAGCCTCCGCGTTCTAGGAAGTCAACAAACAGCAGCCTAGGGCAACGGAGGAGGAGCGTTATGGCGCGAGGGGAGGCGGGGCTAGGGGCGGGGCTAGGGGCGGGGCTAGGGGCGGGGCTAGGGAGGCGGGGCGAGGGGAGGCGGGGCGAGGGGAGGCGGGGCGAGGGGAGGTGGAATTGTTAAGAGGGGAGCGGAGGCTGTGGCAGTTAGTGCGCAGGCTCAGATGCCTCAGCGGCCTGTTGAAAGTACTGCGCGCGCTCTGGTGGTTCAGAGGGGAGAAGCCACCACACCGCGCAGTGATGCCTGGGAGTGCTCAAGTTGAACTCTGGTAGAGGAGGTTATGGCCTGGCATGGACCCTGGATAGTGACAATGTAATGAATCACCTGCTCTCACACTAGCTCTGCAACACAGGCAAACATCAACGCACAACTGTAATAATACTAATAATGGCGGCTATTTCTAACTAAATGAGATAGGCAGTTTGTTAAACATCCTATATCACGTTTTGTGACAAATCCTGGCATATACTTAATGCTCATGAAATCTTTTGTTTTTTTTAATCAATCTTCATTGTTCATATTATTACAAAGGTTCCTCATTTCTTTCCCCCTCCAGCAGATTCCCACCCCATCCTCTGCCCCCTCCCCAGCCCCCATTGTCCTCATCCATAGGTGCACAGTTTATGTTCAGTCTCTTCCTCCCTCCCTTCCCCCCCCCAGAACAGTCAGTCCACTCCCCTCCCATATCTCCAACTCTACTACAATCAACAGCTAATATTGCTCATCAGGTTTTCAATCTCCTTTGTTTGTTGTTGTTTTTTTAAATTAATAAACTTTTACACTTCTAAGAATAAATTTTAAAATCTAATAATTTTAAACCTTGTTTTTTCTGCCCTGGGAATTGAAGAAGCAAACTTGTATACATGTAAACTTGCCCTTAGGCTATCAAAAGGTGTAGCCATTCAAATGTAAATGGACACATTGTTTAAAGATAGCTGCTGGTTGGAATTGGATCACCTGTTCTGGGTGGGAAGGGCTTGTCCTTCCCTTTCTCCATTAAAATTAAGGTGTTAGCTTTAAAACCTCTTTTTGGCAAGAGACCTTAAACTTTCAGAACTTAAAATTTTTCAGATAGTAAATCAGTTACTTAGCATTTTCTCAAATCAATAATACCTCCACATGCCCAAGGATACACTTCACACAAAAGACATTTCCAAATAGATCAACCAACCTCATCCAGACCCCACACAAGGCACTCACAGATCAACACCCCAGCGCTATACTAACTCAACATATCCAGATCTAAGCCTTCATCACTTGATTCAGCAGACCCTCAAGTTCCCCCAAAAGTTTCCAGCCATGTCTGAGAGGCAGCCCTGGGGTGTGGGCAGGCAAGGAGCGAGCTGTTCCGGGCCTGACTGCTCCGGGCCTGGCCTCTGTTGCTCTGGTCCACTCCACAACCAGCTGCTCCAGGTCTGGCCACTGTCGCTCCCGGCCTGGCTGCTGCTGCTCCAGGCCTGGCTGCTCCCGACCCAGCTGTTCTGGGCCCGGCTGCTACGGGCCCGGACGCTCCGGACCTGGCCGCTCCCCACCTGGCTGCTCCGGGCTTGTTTGTTGCTGTTCTGGGACTGACTGCTCCCGACCCGGCTGCTCCGGGCCTGGCTGCTCCTGGCCTGGCTGCTCCAGGCCCAGCCACTCATGAAATCTTTATTAAATAAGTCAGCCCTACTACAACTCCATATCATTGTTAATGATTCCATTGTTTATGGCTGTGAAGATTATGCAAGGGAGAGCTGGGGAATAGTTTAGCCAGTCCAGCTGTATGCTGAATGGCCCCATTGTGTTTTCCAACAGGAGAAGGCTGAGGTGTACAATCTGTGGCATGAACAGGTTCAAGAGATTTCACCATCAGCAGAACATCATTGTTCTAGAATTTGCCTAAAGATGTTATATTTTTCTTCAGTCAAATCTTAGTTTCCTGTGCATTAACACTTGGCCATCTGACCTGAAGAGCATTATACTAAGTGAAATAAATCAACCAGAGAACTACAAGTATCACATGATCTCACTCATATGTGGAATCCAAGTAACAACATAAACTGATGAACAAAATATAAACAGAGACATGAAAGCATGAACAGACTGTTGAACCTCAGAGGGAAGGCAGGGGCAGGTGGTGGGAAGAGATCAACCAATGAAATTGTATGCATACCCATATGCATCACCCAGGGACACAGACAATAGGGTGGAGAGGGACTGGTTGGGGGGTAGGAGTGGGCTGGAAGAATTAATGGGAAAAGGAGGACATATGTAATACTTTCAACAATAAAGATTAAAAATATAATAAAAAATAAACACGTGGCTATCATAAAACAGGCACAAAAAGCTATCTTTCAGGACTAGAGTTATGTACATGTGGCATTTGCAGGCATGGGCTCTAGAATTAGACAAAGTTGGATTCAAGGATCCCTGAATTCCTGTGTGTATAGAAGTGTGTTACTAAATTTTTAAAGGGTGTTTGTTTACATTAAAATTTGGAGGGGAAATTAAACTGTCAAATATGTCAGGGTTTGCCAGTCAGCCCCAGCATATGCGGACTTTAATAACTTTCTCAGTAATCATGCCCAAGGTTAAAATGCAAGGTGAACCTTAGGAAAAACAGTTATAAAGGAAGTTAATATTTCAGAAGGCCTTAGGGTCTTATCAAAGTTGATGCATCAGTTTTACTTTAACTCTCTTATCTATCTAATTATTTCACCACTTTGATTAAATGAAGCTAAAATTGGCATTGATGAAAAGAAAAAGCACAATCAAAGAAGCAGATAAACAAATAATTGAATGCAAATAACTCTTAATTATACTCAGTAAAGTTAAGGAATAGTTTCAGGTGCCAACATTAGTTTCTCAAATCAGAGGACAGAGTCAGAATGAAAAAAATATCACAGAATGTTCTGAAAATTGTGGTCAATTTCAAAAATTTTAACACTTTTATATGAGTTTGGTTTCAAAGCAACAAAAAATTCTGTGTTGTAAATATGTTCAGAGCCTCTAATGGAAAACTAATTCTTTGCATCCCTTCATATATCTTTATCATTTTTAGAATCTTACTAACATCTTCAGGCTTTCCCAAACTCTAAGAAATAGGTGGGCTTCTAGATATGGAAGCTATTCCTGGAAAGTTTAAAATGCTATCCCATTTGCAATTATACTTTTACTTTATATAGCAAAATATAGCAAAAGCTTTTACTTTAAGTTGATCAGTTTTCCCCCCTAAACTACATAATATTATTATTTATACTTTGCCCCCTATCTAACCAAAATTACTTGTATTATTTATCCTCTCTATCCAGTGTCCTGCTGCTATGATGCATGGTGCATAAAAACAAACACCTGATAGTGATATAAACTAATATATGCAGAAGAGATATGAATAGCACATTCATTGCAGAAAAAGCACTTATGAAAGAAGAGTCAGTGGTGTTGTTAGAAACGAAGATAATCACGATGCATTATTCTTATATAAACTTTGCAAAATGTATTGCTGATGTCTCCAGAGTCATCTTGTATTCAACTGATCAGGGACACCTACTTTAGAAAATGACAATTTTTTTTTTTTTAGAAGTGCTCTTTTCCCTAATAACTGGGGTTAAGAATATATCGGGTCTAGTAATAATTAATGTCGTTTTTAAACATTTGTTTAAAATCTTGCTTGGCGTTGACTTGTATTGACATAACCTTCAAACACGTGGTATCTACAGAACGTGTGAAGTGGACTTAACAAGTTTTGCTTGAAAAAGTTTGTGTTTGGTTTGGTTTTTGTTGCAAATGACAATTTTTTTCATGTCCCTCATTGCTTTGAACCAACAGGATGCAACTATAAATTTTAACTGGTAAAAATATAGTAGCCATGGTAGCAAAGAGATTTTATGATCCATTTTTATTATATTGTTTCATATACTGGAAGGCAATAATTACCCATGGCATTTATAGAGTCCTTTGTATTTTCAAAGCACTTAGCAATCATTAATTATTTTATCTCGCTACCATCTCAAATGAGATAGGTTGCTTAGCATGGCAGGGTTATAGAAGGAAAATGGTAGCAGACAATAAAATATTAGAAACTTTAAAAGTTAGGCAGTTGAAGTACTGTGGGAGAAGAAAGTCTCTGGTTTTCCTATCACTTAGGGGGAAAAGAAAGGAGAGAAGAAACCATTATAGGTCCTCATTGAATCACATTTTTTTTTCTTTCTTATTTTTGATTAGTTTAGAGCAGTAATTTCCATTTGATGTGCCTCAAGAATTTTTAAAACATGTAATACCTGACTATTTAGTCAGGGGCACACAAAACACACACACACACACACACACACACACACACACACAGCCCAAACACAAGAAACAAAAAATGACAACAATCAACAAAATAGCCATCCAGTGTGAATGAATCAAAATACCTATTTTTTTTTAGTCAGATAGGCAAAAAGTATATTTTTTTGGTGTGCTGAAGTAATCCTCCTATATAGTAAAGAGGTAATATGCAACTTGACCTCATGCCATCACAAGATGGTTGCTCCCTCAGCAGAGGTGGGGTTCCTGTAATGAGTGATCAGGAGGGGGTCCTGAGGCTGTGCCCCTGCTCAGTGAAGCTTAATAAAGACCTCAGGCCATGCCCCCACCCAGCAGGGCTTGACAGGGGACTGCAGGCCTCACCCCCTGCCCCAGTGCTGGGCCAGGGAACCTGAGGCCACACCCCTCATCCCAGGTGGGGGGACCTGAGGCCTATCCCCACCAGGCATGCACCAGGGACCTGAGGCTATGACCCCCCTGGCACCAGGCCCGGGGATTTGAGGCTGCATCCCTCC